CGGACCTGCTCCCGCCGCCGAGCGCTTCAATGACGCCCTTTCTGTTCCACTGCGCGCTGCGCTCAATGGCTCCTAATCATTCTCGCACTGGGTTTTCTATGTCAAATACATACCGCGAGTTCATTCTTAAATTTCAATATCATTAATCATCCAACATTCAACATCTCAGAACTCCGAAATTTGCATTTCTACAATGGCGGCTTTGAAAAAAAGGACATAAATGCAAATGTTCCACATACTGTATAAGAATTTTCAGAGAATTGCCAAAACAAACCATCAATGCTCCATTGACAGTGAATTTTCTGAGCTCTTCATAAGGACTAAGTATTCGTGATTTTTAAAAGACAAAACACAATTTGAGGATTTAAAAAAAAAAAAGGGGGAAAAAGTAGGTTGAAAAAGAAGTCGTTATGTCTCCATCATTTCCAGAACAAACCTTGACTGATTGAGATCCCGGATAATGATAGCATGGGGGACCGGGGATGGTGGCGGTTCAAGAGCTGCAAATGTTCTCGTGCCGGGCGCTCCAGGAAGGCCCGGTGGGCACACGCCGCTGCCGGGAGACAGACCGGGGCCCTCGGAAAGCAGGCAAGTACAGGAGGCGCTAGGATCTCCCATCCGAATGCCAGCTGGAGCCACTGAGGCAACTCCTGCCCCCACCCCCTCATACCTGCATTCGGCCTGGCGTTGGGAACCCGTCTACGACTCCCCCCACCCCGACCACATGTCCCAGGGGCCCGTCTTGCTGCCCCTGCCCAGGCCTCCACACCTCAGCCCTCGGCCCAATGCATCAGCCACTGGGGGCTCTCCCGCCTTCCCAGGTCCCGAGGAGCTCTCCTCCCCGTCACTGGCTGCTCCCATCCTCTGGCCCTGCCCCCTGCCCTGAGCTGCAGGGCTCCCACTGGCCCGCTGCACCTGCTGCCTACACAGGACCCTCCCGAAAGCCTGCGCCAGGGCCTGCCCAGGCCCCCTGCGAGGCCACTCCCGGCTCCTGCCACCCGCCTCATGCGGCCTGGCCTTGCTGCTCCGGGTCCACGGCCCGTCTGTCACCAGCAGCTCCAGATCAGTGTCTTCCCTGCGTTAATTACATGTCCTCAAAATTCATTTCCTCCCCTCAAAACTTTGTAATATCCCTGAGACATTCAATCATTGCAAAGCATGATTTAAATGACATACAAATAAATGTTCCCTTCTGAGATAATTTCTGTATTAAAGCATAACAACCTTGGCAGCCAAACTGGCTGAAACAAAGAGATTTAGGATCAAACAGAGGAAGAGCAGAGTGTGCAGATGAAGGAATCCCAGAGCCCCAGCTCAGACGGGCGGGAGGCACAGCCTCGTCCCGGGAGACTTTCAGGATTCCAACTCTACGACAGTTTGAGGAAATCAGACTGTCGAAACTCACTAATCACTAAATTATTGTTAACACGGACTTTTTAGCTGCTTTTACGGGAATGGGGGATTTCACACTGAACCAAATACTAAGAAATCCAAGAGTGGTCCAAATTGAAACACTGATCTTAAATACCCAAGTCTTCCTCAGAATAGTTCTCCCGCTTTTTAACTAAATAGTGCACACCCTCTCACAAAGATACAGGGAGAGATAGGACACTTGGGTTACTCCACTCCGGTCCGGCTCAACCGGTTTTCTAGCAAGAGCGTGGTTTGGAAGACCACACACAAGTCCTCGCAACTCCACGGCGGGCTCCCAGGGATGGACAGGGGGCCCCCACGCGAGTCCATCCTCCATGGGTCTCGTACCAGGGACTCGCCTCCCACGCAGACGCCGCATGTCCCGGGGAGCCCATCCTGACCTGTCTCGGCACATCCCCCACGGGGAACGCTTGAGCGCGCCGAGTTAAGCAAGACGCCTAATATCTCAGTACCTGCTCTCAAGCTCCTCACTATCAAAGAGGAGTTCCTGCAGGCCGGATTACCCAGGCCTTTCCGCAGGCTGCTCACATCATTAGGAATAGTTATTCAGAGCAATAAAAGCCCAACAGCTAACAGTTTTACGTCAGAGAACCAGGGCCTGGCTCTGGCAAAGTTCAGAAAGAACAGCAATAAAATCATAATGCATACCTCACCCAACACCAGAGGGAGTTTTAAAGAAAAACAGGGAAGAAAAAAATCACACACATCAAACAAAAAGGTCATTTTATCATCAGGGCAAAGCCAGCTCACAGCGAGGGACCAAACGCAGCCGGGCTGTCCCTGGCCTGGCGGGGCGAGCAGCGGGCCCCAGGGGAGCACGGAGAGGCGGACACCCAGCCGGGGAGTCTCAGTGCTGTGCCTCTTAGCAGCAGACACAGGCACAGAAACAGGACGCGCTCGGCCCCTCGGGTGCAGGAAAAGTGACACCGAACACCTAGAAGTTTCCCATTCGAAGCAGCAGTCCGAACTGTTATTTCCCTTCTTCCCATAAATCCACTAAAACCGACATAAATAAAAAGACAAAAGGGTTTGTAGCAAAGCCAGACCATGGCAAAACAGCAGCACCGACACACAAGAAACTTGGAGGGGGAACCTCCCAGAAAAATACAAATCCTGTGGGATCGCAGTGATGGGAAAAGGATGGCGAGCAGCCCCCGTCCCGGGCAGGCGGCAGGCTGGAGAAGCAGAGAGAGCCACGGCTCAGCCCGACTCATGGCCCGCCACGCTGCCAGGTACGGGGCCAGGGGGCGCAGGGCACAGGCCCACCCCACCCCTCGATGCACGTCCACACCGACCAGGAGGGGCGAGGCTCGGGCTCACCCGGCAGCCCTGCCCACGGCGGCCCCACGGCACGACACACACCATCAGACGGGGCAGCGATGGCAGCGAACACCAGCGGGCAAATTCTCCACGTAAACGGCAAAGGCTCTCGGAAGGAGAACCTGGGAGGCGGAGGCGAGTGTGCAGACACATGCTGGTCAGCTGAAGAAGCCACGGGCACGACTGCTCTTAGGAGACATAATAAACTTCTGGGCAAAGACGCATTAAATGAAGAAAAATACCACGTATTTTGTTAAGAGAACTGAACCACCAAGACATACAGTCGTTAATTTTTAATGGAAAGGCAGGAAAACACGCTGAAATACATAAAGCAGAAAATGGCCAGGAATGCAAAGAATATTGCACATTTTTGTGGAAACAGCACCAAGGAAAGAGTAAAGCTGTGCGGAGCTCCATCAGCGGGTGAAGTTAGCGTGTGCGCGTAAACAGCACACCGAGCACACACGCGTGTCAGTACACACTACGTGTGAGTGAGGAAACTTACGGCACACGCAGACGTCTTCCGACACAGACACAAGAACAAAAGAGCGCTCTTTCTCTCCAGATGCGTGGGTGGCGTGGACCAGATCTGGCCACGTGTCTGCAGAATCCTGCACGGTGATGTAGACCCAGCCACCGTCCTCCAGCACGCTGACAGCAGCGGGACGGACCGCACCCACCCAGCGCTGGGGCAAACGTACGTCATAAGCTGTAACCGACAAGGGAACCTGGGACCGCTGAGCCTGGAGGCCTGGAGCCACGTGAGAGCGGACCCGCCGATCACGCTCCCCAACCCAGCGACTCTACTTCTTGGCGGGAGAAGTGGATGGAGACACTTGCAGGAGTGTATGTGCAAAACACACCCACGCTAATTGTCTGATGCCAACTTGGGGCTGCTACAAACAGTGCTGCAACCACAGAACCATCCATCAGTAAGCTATCAAAAATAAGTTAAATTTATATACATACCGGCATCAAAAGACACTCATGATACATTAAAATGAAAAAAAAAAAAAAAAGCAGAGAGAGAGAACACAGAACCCCACATATGGAATGATTACACTCTATTCAAATGTTTGCACCCACGCCCCCCCGTGTTTACACACAGGAACAAGGCACACACCCCCAACTCGACGGCGGCCGCGCGCTCTGAGCGGGAGGAGAGCTGGCCACCACTCAGGGTCTACTTTACACACTTCGATCCAGACTGCTTAATTTTGCTTTATGCTTTGTATCAATCAATACGTGAACAATTTAAATCAATAAAGCTTTCATATCTAAATATAACCGGGAATCCTGCTCTCTGGAGCTTCTGACAGCTCTGATCAGAGCCAAAGGAAGGTATGAGAATGTTCTGGAGCAGTCCCAAAGGCAGACACCTAGACCCTACACCTCTGCCCAACGGCACTGGGCCAGGCCCCCGGCACACTAACGGAGATGCGGTGCCACTGGGACACCTAGCATCTGTCCGGGCCAGCCACCGCCTCTCCCTCACATGGATGCAGGGCAGACCCAACAGCTAAGGGCCCTTAAAGGCCACGCTGCACTGGGCGGCAGACGGCACTGGTTCCGCAGGAGGCCAGGCCCGCCAGGCAGCCCTCCAGGCCTTAACCAGGTACACGCACTGTGGCTCTGCAAGGGTACGAATGCGTGTGCCCGGGACACCTTTCTGAGGCTCAGAGCCCCACAGACATGGTTTCTAATCCATTTGGCCACTTACTAGGTCTGTTGACCATAGACCAGTCACTTCCTCCTCCAGGCCTGAGATTTGCAGGGCACCCTGAAGGCTCCACGCAGGCCACACGCCCTGTGCAGTGCCTAACACAAAGCACAACACCAGGGGCGACTCCCGTGGCCATCGAGGCAGACGCAGATCGGAGGCTGCCTCTTAGACTCGACCCAGAGGCCCCATCACAGAAACACTCCACCCCACAGGCTCCCTCAAGGACAAAGAAACTGAATGAGGAAATAACTCTCCAAATCAGAGACGGCCCCAAACGTCACCTTGCTCGTAAGTACAAGTCTCCTCCCCTGGCATCAATGGAGACCACACACCATTTGGGCCGCACGCAAATTGAAGCCAAAGACATGACCCTAAACCACCGGGATGAAGAACCCACAGTCTAATCTACACTCAGTGGTCATAAACCAATAGTGGCCACGCGGCGAGCCAGAGCGGTCCCACGATTGCATCTTCTAGAGGAGAGCGGTGCCGGCCGCCAAGAGAAGCGCGGGCCTCGCCTTACCTGGATGGCTTTGGGAGCTCATTGCTAGCAGCGTCTACTCCTTTAAGCGGCTCAAAGCGGCTCACAACTTCCACGTAAACGACAGCTCCAAAGAGCCCCCAAGTTCCACGGACACATACAAGGGCAGCGGCAGGGAGTGTTGGCGCGCAGCCTCGGGAACCCCCAGTCTTGCCGACCACGCGGCGCAGGCCGAGGCATCCAAGAGGCGGGCAGGGCTCCTCCGCGGCTCTCACGAGGTGACCTGCGTGGTGAGAGAAGGAAGAGCGGTGTCAGTGACGGGGGACGGCTCTCGGGGACAGCGACTCTAACCACGGAAACAACGCGGTCGTGCCCGCTGATCTTATCACGGGTGTGCAAACGGGCCCGTGTGGGATCGGTTCTGCCGACACAAACCACTTGGGGGGTTTGCTAGCAAGCAGGTGTGAAGACACGATACGGAGCCGCGGCTGTCAGCCCGCCCGCCCCCGCCCGGCCCAAGGTCCAGACGTCCGCACCCCCGCGGCCACGGCCTCCACTCGGCTTCCCCCACCGCGCCGGGCTCCTGCTCCATGGTTACCAGCCTCCCGGTGTGCTCCCCGTTCCTCACTATAAAAGCATCTGTGCTCATCACCGCTAAGTGTTTCGAGTCCGCCAGGACGCCGTGACCGGGGCCAACACTCAGTCCCGTTCGGACCTGTGTCCGTGCTGTTTCTCTCTGCCTTTCCCACACGAAGCACCAGCTCTACAGCCGTGTACCCTGTTCTCTGGGCGGGTGTTAGAGCCGGGAATGTTCCGATGTCACCGGCAACTCCCGGTACCACCATGTCCAAGGCTGCTTCCTATTCCACGGGCAGCAGAGGCTGCCCGCCTGCCTCCCGCCTCCCAGGGGCTGCCTCCCCACCTCAGGTGGCACCGTCCTCAGAACTAGGGTGCACGGGATGCAAGCCAAGCTCATCAAATCCTCTCCCCGAGACTGCCATCCGCTGTAGAACACGGCCGCCCAGAGACATGTATGAGAACCCCTAACCGGCTCGTGTCGGCCTGTGTGTGTATGGAGGCGTCATGGATGAGCTCTTACCCACTCGCCCATGACTCCACCATCACAAAGTAGAAACAAACCAAGCACGCTGTAACTATGGAAAATCTACTGACCCTGACCCCCTACCCCTCCCTGCTGAGGCCTCTGTCATGATGTGATAGATTCCTGGTCTTCATTAAATCATTCAAGGATCCTTCCTTTGCCTGTTGCTTAAACTCAGAGAACCCTAACCAGTGCGTCAGGAGAAGGACTGCCCTGCAGAGACTAGCCATCTCAGTGGTTTCCATGACACGTCATCCATAACGCCATGAGCGATGTCCTCACAACTGTTGTCCTGCATCTGGTTGTTTCCTCGGGAAACACAGTGACATTTTATCTCACGTTCGAACTTTTCATTCTGTCTCTTGAGCAGAAAGAAAGACCACTGTCTTGAAGACAAGGTAAGCTGCTCCTTTTGCAAATCGCAGATGGCTCCTGTGGGTCACAGCTTGGCTGGGTATAAAAGTCTGAGGACACAAGCAACTTCTCCCTGGAAACCTTCAGACCCGGCCCCGCCCTCGGCACGGCACGAAACCCCACATCCAGCTTGAGGACATCTCTTGCCTAGCTGACCCCGGGGGACTGAGCTTGGATGCTGCTGCTGCTGCCGCCATCTTCTTCTGCCTGGATTCTACGAGAATCTTCCTCTTTCCTCTTGAAATCCATAAATGTTGTCAGAGGGTACAAGATCCCATTCTCATTTATTTTGCTCCAAACATGAATCTTTCAACACATACAGGTCTCTTTTCTGCTCCAGAGAATGCTCTTCAACAGGACTGGGATTACTATTTTGGGGAAACTTGTTCTGGCTTCCTCGGTGACCCGCCCTGATCTGGCTGGCACCCCCCCCCCTCATCCTCTCCTGCCACTGGCCCATTGCTGTTTACCCGGCATTCCTGGGCATCTTCTCAACTACGCTCCCCGCAGCACGGCTGCTATTTTCCACGGCATCAGTTTGATTCCTTACGGCCTCTACTACAGACTTGAACTAAACCCCAGACTCCCCGTTTACAACCATTTCCCTGCACAAGCCATTCCTTTCTCTCCTCCGCTCACGCACCCCCTCTGCCTCGCCCGTCCATAGAGCCATGGCTTCTCACCACCAGAGTCTTTTGAAATTTCTGTTTTCTGATTCTGACTGTGAACCGCTTTCAGAGGCGTACTCGTCTTCTGCATTTCCAGGTATTTCCTTTTTCACCACATTCTGGGAGACCCCATGTGGGGATTTTCTGTTCATTCATCCTCAAATAAGAATAGCTCCAGACAAGACTTGAGTTTTGCCAAAAGGCCACGTGTACTTGCTCCTACCCCATCCTGTGTCCACTGTAACGCTGGCCAAAATCTGCTGCTCAGAGCTACACCTCTGGCAGCTGAAATGCGCAGTCCCCAGCCCAGTGCCCAGCAGGCTCCAACCCAGTGCCTCTTGCCAGACTGAGATGGACTCTCTTCCCAACAGCGGATTAAACACAAAACAGAAATTTCTGCTAGGCTACAACGTACATGTTGTGGATGATCCTCGCCCTCTGCAAAACTCTACTAAAAATACCAAGGCTTATGAAAATAAATAAATAATAAGGTTGGAGTGGACCATTCGAAACTGCAATTTAATAACCAGGACACCACAGAAATCAATAACAACACTAATAAAAACACGACCATAGGGTTTGTAAAAAGACATGTAAAATTCCTAATAAATAGAAAGTCCTGCAAATGTAGAATTTTACTGTGGCAACAGTTTTATGAGGGAGCATAAAAGGAAGAATTGAAGCCTCTGAGTTATGGAATCGGGGACAAAACGTTACGATGGAGAAAAACCGTGCGGCAGAGCACGTGGCCAAAAGGGGCAGGCAGGAGGCAGAGCTGGGGTGGGAACACACGCACGCACGAGCAGCAGGACACTCCTCCGTGGATTACCACGCTCAGCGGGGCAGTCCTTCGAGTTCAAATCCTGTTCCCTGATAATAGAAATCATCCACGTATAGAAAAAAATCAGGTATGACCCAGCTCAACTTCCACCCTGCAGACACCCTTTCCCATAAACCGGCAGCACACGAGCCGCTCCGTGTTATGAAAGCAGGCTTTGTTACAGGACAGACTGTATGAAGTGGACTCATTTCCGAGGGCTGCCATAACACCACACCACAGACCAGGTGGCTTAAAACAACAGGAATTTTATTGTTCACAGTTCTGGAGGAGGAAAGTTTCGCTAAGTCTGCAATCAAGGTATCGGCAAGGACATCCACCCCCGGAAAACCGTAGGGAAATCCTTCCTGCCTCTTCCCAGCTTCTGGTGGTTGCTGGCAATCTCTGACACTCCTTGGCGCGCTGCCTTTGCCACCACATGGCTTCTCCCCGTGTCCCTGCCTTCACACGGCCATGTTCTTCTAAGAACACCAGTCGTATTGGATGAGGGGGTTCAACCCACCCGGTATGACGTCATCTTAACTAATAATGACAGCTGCAAGAACCCCACGTCCAAAGAAGGTCACATTCCGAGGTCCTGGGGGCCAGGCCTGCAGTGTATCTTCTTGGGGAGGGAGAACACAAAGACACGATTCGACCCCCCCCCGCCCGGTGTGCTCTGCACCGTGGGCTCTTCCTGGCTGCTCCTGTAGCCGCCTCCCCCACTGCCTCCTCGTTTACAGCCCTCTCATCAGGCCCAGACCACGTTCTACGCAGACCAACTCTTTCTGGAGCCTATCAGTATCAATGAGGAACACACCACACCTCTGTGAGGAGCACAGAGCCACGGGGCTTGCCAGGCAGCTCCATGTGGCACAGGGACAGGTGCTCAGTGTCCTGCTGGGTTCACAGGGTGACTCTATAAATCCCAGGAGACGGTGGGGAAGGAGGGTTCCCTTTGTGCTCTCAGGTGAGCCACCGACTGTATCACTCAGCCTGGGTTCTCCGGCTTCAGCCACGCTGAGGCTATCAGCAGACGCTGTGCCCTGGGTCATTAAGTGAAACCAAAGAGGCCTCACCAGAAACGTCCAGCCAGCTCTTCGCAGGACAGCAGAATGGCTAAGAGCACAGGGATGAGAACCAAAACTGCCCCAGGCCCGGGGTCTGAACCTCACATCGCTATTTTAGCACAGGACCTCGAGCGAGGTACTTGACCTCCCCGTGTCCCATGTGCTGACCCACGGGAAGGGGAATGCAGATGGGCAAACAGCAGCGTCCTCGAGGCAGGACTGGACATGGCTTGGAGAGAGGACGTCATGCACTCTAAATTGTACAACACATCTTCCGCAAGCACTACGGATCCACTACAGGCTGCCTACAAGGAATCCACTTTAACTGTAAAAATACTAATAGGTTGGGATCCCTGGGTGGCGCAGCGGTTTGGCGCCTGCCTTTGGCCCAGGGCGTGATCCTGGAGACCCGGGATCGAACCCCACATCGGGCTCCCGGTGCATGGAGCCTGCTTCTCCCTCTGCCTGTGTCTCTGCCTCTCTCTCTCTCTGTGACTATCATAAATAAATAAAAATTTAAAAAAATACTAATAGGTTAAAGTTAAAAGACGGAAAAAGATAAATCATGGAAATACTACTCAAAAGCAAGCTGTGACAGCTACAGTAGTATCAGACAAAGTACATTCTAAAGAAGGACCATCATGGGGGTTTTCACCCCAATAGAGAGGACGTAACCACAACATTCATGCACCAGTAGCAGAGCTCCATACACGAAGCAAAAATTAATAAAAAGGTAAGAAGAAATGGACAAATCTATTATAGTTGGAAATTTCGACTCTGCTCTCAGTAACCGTGAGAACAAATAGACGGGAAATCAGTAAGAAGAGAGAAGACTAGACCGCAACAGCGTTGACCCAACACCATCAACAACACAACACTCATCTCGTTCCTTACGTGGTTTTTTGTTGTTTTTTTCCCTCACGTGGTTTCTTAAAAGTGAACACAGAAAACCTGCTGAGACAGACCAAAGAAATAAAATCTTAAAAAAAAAAAATGAAAACAAAAAAATCAAACCATGTTCTCTGACTAAATTGAAATTAGATATCGAAAACAGAAAGATAAAAAAAATTTTAAAAAAAGGAAAAAAAATAAAATAAAAATAAAATTAAAAAAAAGAAAACAGAAAGATAGCTGGGAAACTCCAAACAACTGGAAACCAAATAATAGACTTCATGGTCAGAGAGGAAATCGGAAGCCTCCCTGCCCTATGAA